TATAATCATATTATCACTCTGTTGGTTCTAGACTTGTGTGTGGTTCTGAGCGTTTTCCACTTTTTGCTCTAGTCTCGTAAAAACAATACAGTGGGCCTTGTGCTAATAGTTCTCCGCTAAACTGAACAAACATGTAGTAGTTAGTATCACCAAAAGCGGGCAATGTACTTGCACTTACTATTTCTTTACAAGTCACAACATGTTCCTATAAAGACTCGTTCGTGGTCGTTATTGTAGTTGCAGCACGACTATTTTTAGATGCATAAGAAGTGAATATTCATGACACTCATCTCATCTAAACTCGCAGCGGAGACCTTCATCGTGCCCATCGTATACGGTGGCGGTGATTTGCCCGAGATCACAGAGTTTGACTGTGATATCCTCATGTGGGATGGCAAGCCGCAGTACGCCAACGTACTCGACAACTGGATTCCCGAGGCCCCTTATTTTCAGGATAGAGGTTTCAATATGCCATCAATCACTCCTAAGGTATGTTTGTGATTATTTAGCGACGATGCTGTTGTTTGTGGGGTTTGGGTTTAGGGTTTGTCTCAGTGATTGCCAATGGTACACGTGCGCGCGTCAGGCGATGTATCATAGGTAGCGATAATCTTTTTCACGCGTACAGAATGAGGCAGTTACAGATGAACCTAATAAGCAATCATAGAATTTATAAGAGTATTGGTCCTAACCACATCTCATGCGGTGCATTAACAGGATGTGCAGCAACAGATAATCGACTACTGTGTCGAGTGTGTGCTTGCCCTAGGGTTCAAGCAGGGTAACTTCCACATGGAGGCATGGATGACAACTATAGGGCCCGTGCTTATCGAGTGCAATCCCCGCGTCGGCGGTGCCAGTATCTTCGACCTGCACAAGCAAGGTATGTTCCAGAACTATAGACATACGCCAAAGGAGTGAGCAAAGTATACGTCTGTAGGAGTCGGCGGGCGGAGTGTGTAGCTTGATCATAGCACGGTTGTTGTTCATAAAATGGGTACGCATTCGCGTTCATAGTAATTCAGGATAATTGCAACGTGTCGGGTTGATTGATGGATTCTATTCCCACTTGCACAGTCTATGGAGTGGACCCTTCGGTCAACTTCTTCCTTAGTGCCATGGGTATCCCCATCAATCCCCCCAGATTCGAGACGCCTCAGTGTGCACGCCTGTTCTACCTGGTAACTGCGCACAAGACCGGGGTGTTTGAGGGCGAGACCTTCCTGGACAAGGCGAAGGAGAACGAGCACGTCATCAGCACTGTGTACTTCAAGCACAAGGGTGATAAGGTCACTGGCCTGGACAAGGGTAAGTTTGTCTGTATTTGGCTTTGACGAGATGGGTTTTACCTACCATTTATTATCATGTTAGTCGTGGATCTTTCATCCAAGTTACAGCGTTTGGTATACATAGAGGCAGTATAGTATGTTGCTGCACGCAACACAGTTAGTTAAATCCTAACCTTAAACCCTAACCCCTAAACCCTAACCCTAGGTGTCCCCGAATGGATTGGTCAGTTTGATATGAAGGGAGATGCCAAAGATCTCGAGTCTCTCATCCGGGAACTGGATGACTTGGTCAAAGAATCCACAGAGGAAGCGGGCAGGCAAACAGCCGGCGAAGTGGTGAACTTCAAGCCCAACAGACGCCGTTCAACTTTGGCGGATTTGGAGTAATTAGTATAGTATAGTAAAATTTTATTCTTCGAGTACATATTTGTCGAATTTCTCACATTGAGAGACATTTGTGTTAGCTTTGAACTAAATAAGGTAACTAACATCACTGTACCCGGCAGGAATAGTGCTTTTGGTCCCGAATTATAGACCAATTCGTATTTGCGCCGTTGTTAAAGTCTGATTTTGTTTTTAATACACCACTCGTACATTACCATCCAACGGGAGGGTCTTTTCTTCTCCACCATATCTGGCTCTGTCAATCTCAACACCTTTCGAGCGTGGCGCAGACTCTTGCGCTCAGATCTCTTGAGCAGATCTTGTTTGACACTGCCTAACATGGCTACCACCAGCATGGACTCCACTTTTGCATGGCCCATTCCTGAAGATATATTTAGTGCATAATTCTTATTCGCCATAGGATCTACTCTGCCGTCGCGTAGCAACAATCTTACTACCGACACATGGTTGTTCTCGCATGCTACCTGTAGTGCCATAGAGTCGCAGGCGCTGGGGTCAGATCTCTCATCGTCCAGTAGAAGTCTAACTACTCGTGTGTGTCCATAGCAAGCTGCCATACGCAAACCCTTGCTATACTTAGATGTAGGGTCGCATCGTCCATCCGCAAGCATTCGACGAACCGTTCCGGCATGCCCTTCGTAGCACGCCAGTCTAAACGCCAAACTGTCATTATCGTCCGCAATTAATGTTGTGTTATCTAATAGGATAGACACCACATCTGTATGTCCTTTATACGCAGCTAGATTCAGGGCATACGTAGCATCGGCCACTGGGTTCAGTCTGCACTGTTTGAGAAGTAATCGTACCGTACCCACGAAGTTGTAACATACTGCCGTGTTGAAGCCCACCCCAAGTATTTGTGTGATTTGGCCGGCACTAATTTGGTTGTGTACTATTAAAGCTTTTGATATCGAGCATTCGGCTTGCTCTTGGGATTCTTCGTGGAGTATGAGCTGGACGTATTCTATCAGCATATCATGGTAACCCTCAGAGAATAAGAGACGATAGAACGACAGCCAGACCGGGTACTTCGCGCCAATCTGTGAGAGAGTCTGTACCACCATCTGCATCCCACCCCATGCGTACGCTTGTATAACGGCCTTGTGGAACAGGCGACCCGATTCGCGAGTTCGCAACACCAATACTATGTCTCCAATGGCTACATCGGCGTATGTCACTTCGACGATCTGTGTAGATTGGCAATGATAGATGTAAAAATTAATACATGCTCCAGAGGCAATATGTGTTGTTTGAAGACCAACTGGCAGTGGGACTAAGTAGACAGCAAAGTATCCAGCACAAATGTACGTCTACAATCTACTAATGGGAGAATGCATATGTATTAGTTAATACCAATTTAATAGGAGGAGTCCGTGAACGTAGGTGTCTTTTGCATGTCAATCTTTGTAAACCAAATCCATCATGAGAAATGTGTATGAAATTCTGGACAATCAAAAATCATATTTGTTCTACATGATGAAAGGCCAGACATACCTGGCAACGGGTAGTAGTGAGCGGCTTGAATTTGGGCTGAGTCTTGGCGAAAACGTACCCGATGTCATTTAATAGACACGTACTGCGAACAGAGCGATCCCCTGCCACCAAAGACAGCGACGAGCATGTTTCCGCTAAAGATATCATATCATCTCTTCCCAGAAACTTGGCGATGGCTATGTGATTGTCGGCACCAAGACGATCAAACTGCATCGTACCGGACATTATTTATTTTTCTGCGCTTGATATATTTAGACAAAACTTTGCCAATTTGGGTCACTACTTGAAGAGTGGGATATGTGCTGGGTTGTCTGCAAGATATAAAGCAATGAGCGACACTCAGCGCAGCCATCAACCACTCCCATAATAAGCTAAACATCAAACATATAGCGTAGCTAGCACCCCCATTATGACACCACATGAGCCGTGAGATTAAAAATATATATTGAGTATTGGTACCAACAAGAGACTTTAAAAAACGTTGTTGTGTTTATTTTCAACAAATTTCACAAGATGCCACTGTCAGCAAGTCAGAAGCGATAAGGATTTGGCCCGCGTTTTATTATTTTAGCCATATATAGAATACGTGTACTAAAGCTTTGAGCCTTTGACAATTGACACGCAATGATTCTACACGCAGAATATAGATGAATATTTAAATAAATACATGTCCTTCTGTGTACTGAAGGTATAATTATACAAGAGATGCACCACGCGTGTTTGAAATATGTACAGATAGAATAGTATATAACAGATTCATCAGGCGTGTTTGAATATAAGCTATACGGATAGAATAGGATATACTAGATGCATCAGGCGTGTTTGAAATAGTTTCGTGGTATCAAGTGTGCAGGGACATCTGCGAGGTGCCAATTCGTTCATTGTGGCCAGTCGCACAAACTCAATTGCACACATCATATACGAGCTTATGGCGTGAAGCCGTGTCTATATATAACATATGCGTTCAGCGTATTTATGTTCATCTCATACTATCGGTTGTGTAAGGGGTAGAAAAGAAGTATTGAATGTGCTATGTGTTCAGTCGTATAAAGTTGGTTGCAAGCATCGATATCCGCCTCTATCGTATGGAGCCCTGCTGAGAGTTTTATGCCATTTCCGACTATCGTGTCTGCAAGAGTCTATCTACAATGTACTGAATGGATAAAGTGATAGTCTTGTCTCGACCCTATCGTATGCTGATATGCCTACTTATAAAAATTTACTGGGCGTACCTAATGTGGGGTCTGCTGGGGTTTATCTACGATAGAACGTACGCAACACGTAATACCTTTGTTTCGACTCTATCGGGTGAACCTGTACTTATAAATATACAAGAGTTGCCTCAGGTGACTGGGCGTACCTAATGTGGGGTCTGCTGGGGTTTATCTACGATAGTACGTACGCAACACGTAATACCTTTGTTTCGACTCTATCGGGTGAACCCGTGCCTATAAATATACAAGAGATGCCTCAGGTGTGCTCTACTTTATTTGACTATCATGTCTACAGAGATGCATGTCATATCCATCTATATCGTGCGGAGGTGTGCATATACTATATATATGAGTTGCTCCAGGTGTGATTTAGTCACTCACGGAGTCTCATAGAGCCTGTTGTACAATATGTATACCCCTGTGGTGGTCGTCCGTTTGTAACGCATGTTCTAAAAATAGCACCAACGAGTCGTTTGTCGCGGAGTATTCAATCATCCAGCACTTCAAATGTGTCTGACCTGAAGTATTTTGCATACTGTTACGTCTGCTGTGTGCACAAACGTTCACTTGTATGTGTCTGGTTCAGCAACGCCCCTCAAGGAAGATACAGAAGCTTTAGTATGCTTCAATATTGTATGTGTATTAGTTTGTACAGGGGTTTGTACATGCACAGAATAAACAGAGTACATTATAATAGTCTTGTCTGCCGCTGTACATTGACCAACAAGCCACGAGGTTGTTCTCGCACTTTTCAGCTGCAAGTCAGTCAAGTAAATCGGCGCGAAGCGACTGAAGATAAGACATGGCACATTGTACCATCAGCCCTCAAACCAAGGCGCTCGTAACGATTCTGTGTGCGATATTTTGTCTCGCACACACTTCCACATAAGCGCTTAAGCTCTGGCGCAAAGGCGGTCACATGTCTGTCATTTCATGGGATAGGAGTCCGCGTGCAATCTGCTTACATATGTACGGATTACTACGTGAGTATACGGGTCGTCCATGGACACAGCACAGACGTTTTGTGAGGCGAGCAAATATATATGTATACATATCCATATAGATATAGATATAAATATAGATATGGCTATAGACATAGATACAGCTATACATTAACATATAGATATAGATAAATTTATACATACGCGACAAATCGGCGCAAATGTTCACTGCTACGGAGTGGGGGTGCAAATGATGTGCAATCAGTCGGTAACTGATGAGCATATAGTGGGTGGTTAATGCGTCAGTACTATGGTGGTCGCAATTGCGTGTACTGTGCGCCTTCATAAATGAACCTCGCCAAGAGAACATGCTCATATTGTCAGGCCTCATCGACTATCTCTATTGGACCATGAACCTCACTTAATAATATGTAACTCTTATTTTAATCTTCCTACATTCCCAAATAGCAACCCCCATTTGGGTTGTTAATACAGATCTCGTCATCCCCTTCTCTCGCGTTACTTCACGCAAGCTAACTCCTTTCAAGTTGATCATCCAGTGTTCCGGCCGTAGTTGAGGTAGTCTGTTCGTCATCTGCTTCAAGATCGAGCAACCGATTTCTCGCGACCTCTAATTGGGCCTCGGCTACCTTGATGCGTGTCGCAATATTGACCTGCTTAGATCGCACTCCCCGAATTTCAGACTTGAGAGAGTCGTATTTCGCTCGGAGTATAATTTCTTCGGCAGCCAGTCTGCAAGGCGTGTTGAAGAGAGTCCAAGATCAGGATGCATTTGTAACATACATACATACATACACATACACATACACAGATACTATTATGTATATGCGTACATACATATTTTTGCCCATAAATGTAAAGATATGCACACAAACAACATACTTCGCTTCAAGCTCTTGCAACTCGGCTATCTCGGGCTCGGCAATATCCTTCATAACCTGCAAGTCTTGCTCCATCTCTTCGACGGAACGTTCGGGAATTGCGGTGAAGTATTCAAAGGTACTTGCGAGCACACCCCAACTCTTCACCACTTGATCACTGGTCACCACACCTCTGGCTAGTTCCCACGTGCTGTTTGCTGCGCCCGTCACTACGCCGCTCCCCTGTGAGCGACGACCCCCATGATTATGAACATATTCAGTTATTCTCTGCCTCAATTTATACTTACTATCAGGCTATTGAATAGGCGAGTTTGATGGACGCAGAAAACATAAATAATCCGCACAGGGCACATATAGGAGATATACCTACGCTCTAATCCAAACAAAGAACGTTATCGAGCCTTGTCTGTGCCCACCTACCAGAATAGAAAGCGCAACATTCGTAGACGTGTTAGCCGCAGCACCCAGTGTCTCGTTGTCCAGCACACGCTTTGTATAGTACGCGCCATTAGACACCGTGCGCTTGACGGCCTGCTGCACATTCGCGTCATTGAGCATCCTGGTCCCGTAATCCATCCCGGTTCGAGTGACAGTTGAGAGCTGCTCATTCTTCATTAGTTGTTGTGCTACCGACACACCTGCAAGGGATGGGTGTGTTTTCATAGATCTGTTATGGATATTCGGTTTATGGGGTTGAAAGGGTTTCATAGATCAAATATGTGTGGATATGAGTTTATACGCACGAATATGCGTATACAAAGCGTGTGCGCGTTTGTGTATATATACCCCCGCACCGTGCGTCACAGCAAATAGATGGGTCAATTATCTGCTTAACAACGCCAACCGTTTCGCTACTGAGTTCTTAGTTTGTGCATTACTACCGGGAGTGTGTACGAGTCTCAATCCCATCAAATGAATTCTGTGTTAAAATTGGAATTGCAACACGCTCCCTACCTGAAACTGATTGTGCGTTGTCCATGTGGGACCGATTCAGGATTTGCCAATCCTACACATACATACACACGTCCAAACAGTTTCACATACATAGGCATACATGTACACAAACACACAATAGACATATACGTACACAGACCCCTTTGAGGCCACCCTGCAGCCACCGAATTGGACATGGCACTTTCGACCTAACATTGATCGAAATCGGATGCTGCACTACACATTGTGTGCATACACACACACACTCACAATCACCGATACACATACACATACATACCCACACATACTTATCACAACTTACTCGACTTGACTGTGGTGTTAACGGCCCGGTTCACCCGCGGACTCTCCATGACGCGTTTAACGCCCGTCTGCAGCGAAGGATGAGATATGGCGCTATTAAAGGATGAGCCGGCCGTGTTGATGGCGGTGCTAATTTCCGGTCGCGCCAGTACACTGCTGAGCACCTCCATACCACTCGACAGAGCTTCACCTATCCGATCATCCTCTGTGTGGTGTGTATGTTCAGATGGCGTATAAAGCCTTGTGAGCTGGCTATAGTAGAGGGTTCGTACGAAAACAAAATGGGAGGTGGGGGTATCATAGTGTGTGAGTGCCCATAGTGTGTGAGTGCAAGCACCATTGATATGAGTGGAGTGATGACTGGGGAATTGTCTGGACGATTCTACATGATTCCGATATATCACAAGACTCTTCGTTTTGATTCGTCTCAAGGTTTAGTACGGATATGCTTGAGGCGCTTTCATCAGTCCTGCACCGGTTAAACGTGCAGAGGTTATCAACGACTTAAAATTCTACCCGACAACAACTACCGCACGCCTCACACACCCACAGAAACATACCCAAGGTGGTCTTGGAAAACCTCACACCGGCCGCCGCATTTCGTTGAAAGGACTTGCTCTCCAGTGCATCTCCTGTGATCCGCATCAAATCACTGATGCGGTCCATCGCATCCTCATCCTCGAGTGTATTGGCCACCATCGGCAGCATGGACGTGACGAGTCTCAGAAGATTGTTCGTCCCGTCGGACTGAGCAATCTCTCGCAATATCTGAGGCGTGGGTGGAGGTATCAGAATGTAAGTGATGGTAATTATAGAAAGAATATATAAGGATGTATTCTATATGGCAATTATACCATACGTTCATACAAATATCAGAATGTCAGTGATAGTAATTAAAGAAGAATATGTAAGGATATATTCAATGTGGCAAGTATACCATACGTTCATACAAAGACTCGCAGAGTGACAATAGACAACCCCATAACACCTGACTCCAGCAGACAAATAAACTTTTACATAAAATAATTATAGAAAATGCACTCAATCAATCAGTATTTACGAAATGATTCTATTCGTTCACTTTTTGTATAATATATATGTATATGTATATATATATATATATATATATATTACGTTTCTATTCGTTCTTACTTTTTATATCCACATGCATATATATATATATATATATATATATATATATATATATATATAATAATAATAATAATATATAT